AGTATGACCTCTGAAACGTTGGTAAACATCGACCAGACTACACAGCGCAACAACTCAGAAGACAGAAATCTTCAAAATTAATATAGTTGTGAAACTATAAATTCTCCACTTTTAGGAAACTTCTCATGACATGATAAGCAAATACTTCTGGAGTATTTTATTATGATTATATTTTATACTTTGGTGGTATTGCCTTTGATGAAAGTGATTTGATATGCATCAATATTCTCTGTCCAATATGAAAATGCATACAAAAGTAAGGTAAACATGGTTGTTGATTAGTTGCTGCAAGAGCAGTCGTGGAGACACCAACATAACTTTCTTGCATTGATATTTCTCCTTCCATTGTGTGGAAGAGTTGCATTGCCAGTCATAATTTGTCATCTTGTTTCAGGTACCAACTGTGTTTGCAGATTAGAAATGATATTTTAATGGGAAAGTAAGTATTTCTATGTAAATATGCAACATACCATATGATTATTGAAATCTCAGAAGTAGGCTTTGATAAGGAAATTAAATACAAATATTTGTTTTCAAATGCACACACATCTGCATTAAAATAATTTTGAGATTTCATGTCAGCTCCTCTTCACTACTTTCCTGTCCATGTTCAGTTCAGTTGTCTGTTTCATTACTGATCGTTTAATATGTGGGGTACAAAAATTGGCATCTCAGTTTTGAGTGTACAGGATTGTTTAGAGTACTTTATTGGTGATCTCATGTTTTAGTTGATGTCTATGAAATTGAACATGAAATATTTATTTCAGCTGCAACTTGTTTGCTGGGTCGGCCCTGTGTGTGCGCCATATGCCTATTGTTCAGAAGTATTTGATGTCATATATGTACACCTGCATCTTAAAGAAGGGGAAGGGGTTTGGATAAAGCTTCTTTTCCCTGTCATAAAATGCACATCATAAGAAAGAGATCCGTCTTGTGTGACATTCGTATTTCAAAGAAAATATATGATTTCTGTGTGACAGAATAAACAGGACTGAACCTGTCTCTCTAAAGTTAGGCCAGATATTGCTTTTGCAGAAGTTGTAAATAACTAATTTCTTCTTGTCTCATATGTTCTCTCTTGTGGTGGGTTGTTTTCATCAAATATTTTTGCCAGTCCCATTCCTTCCTGGCCATACTCTTCATAAATGTTCATTAATTAATTTTCAGAATAGTACATTCGAAATATTAATACTCCCACTGTGTAATGATTTCCACTTTACAAATGACTCCGAAGAAATGCAACCTTTAGATTGAGGAATTAGTGCGTATGTTAATTGCTCATTTGAAATGTTAAGGTATTTAAAATTAGTAGAGTGAGGTTTTGGAGTGGGAGGAGCAAACCCTGATGTTTGGCATTAGGTTACATGTAACACATATTGCTGAGTAGGGTGTCATATAGTTTGTTACACATTTTGTTTCAGTCTGTAGGTATTTAATTTATTTAGTACAGACCATGTTGCAAGATTCAAATTTTATAGGTATACATATGTTTACATTGAAAGTGAAGAATTTTAGCTTATGAGCTGTGTTGTATTGCAGACTTCCCTGTTCATTCGTGACACATGCACTGCTTGGCTCATACCTTGTTCAGTCAGAAATTGGTGACTATGATGCGGAAGAGCATGGCCGCACTTACCTCAAAGACTTCCGGTTTGCTCCTAATCAAACATCGGAGCTGGAAGAAAAGGTCATGGACCTTCACAGGACTCACAAGTGAGTTAAATTGATTGTCATTGTAAATAAAGAATTAACGAATGAGAATGAGGAACATAAGATTACTGTTATAGGATTTGAGACTTTCGCGGCGAGGATCCAGTCACATCAGAACCCTGAAAATGGGGAAAGA